TTGAGAGAACTACATTCGCACACGCACGCGATGCGTAACTCGCACGTGTAGTTAAGCGTGTGTCACAGTAACGTAATACGATAAATGTGTTCTGCATTTATGTAAGCTAATAATAATAATAATAATTATATAGTAATGACAAGCATAATAATGATGCTGATGCGTAATAATAATTATCATCAAATACTAATAATAATAATAATAATAATAATAATAATGATAATGGCGGTAATAATGATAATGAATAATAGTAGTAGTAATACGATTCGAGTATCGAGTATCAGCGCTTACGCAATTAGATGTTCTGGGAGGAGCTCGGGATGTGTATCATACGTATACTACGCAATTCGGTTTCGTTCGTCTCTCCCTCTCATGCATACATTCTCTCTTTCTCTCTCTCTTTTCTCCCTTATGTTTTTTTTCACTTTTTTACCCGCATTATTATCAACCTCTCGTAAGAAAACCGAAACTACAGCTTTCGCTCGCGAGTGTTCCTCGTCTGGACGTTTCTCAAAATCAGGCGGAAGTTGCTTGGATCGGATAAAATTAGGATGTAATCGGATGGAAAAGAAAAATAAAGAACGCAGGGCAAAAGTATAAAAAATATCGCTAATTACTCGCGGGTAGACTGATTCTCATCAACGATCGATTGTATCGCGTCGAGTTCGTCAAAGATCTCTCATTAATGTCGAGCAACGTTGACTGAATGAATCCCGAATGAGAAAATCAATAGGATTAAGAATTATGCGCTCGTGATATTCGATTGCCGGAATTACGACGCAAGCCGATCGCGATTAAGCGAGGAGATTAATCGAGCCGCGGGAAGAACACGATTTGTCGATAAAACGAGAATCGGTAAAGGATCGCGATTGCGAAGCTCGAGTACCGAGAGCATTACCAGATATAATATACTGGCAGTTCGTATATAGATATACCGTCAGATAGTTTTTTTTTTATTATCTCTTCCTATTTCATCATTTTATCCTTCTTGAATGCACGAGCGATGACATTCGTGTCGATGGGAAAACGAAGCGAAATCATGATACGAAAAGCGGAAGACGAGTAGGAAGAGGTTCGCGGAG